ATGGCCAAACACATGTGGCCTCCTTTATCTGGATGTGGAATAATCCAACCCAGATCATCAGAGACGTAAGGACACTGAGAGTCCAACTCCTTCATTTGGCAGTTTTGGAAATCCAAGGTCACGGTCAAGTGACTTGGCCAGGGTCACAGAGGCAAAACTGGAACCGAAACTTAGTCTTAAGTCTCTTGCTCAACATTCTTTCTCATTTCACCTATGGAAAAACATTCCATGCCAGATCTCTCACCTCAATTTCTGGCACACAAAATTGCTGGGTAGAATGTTCTAACAGTCATTTGTGTCCATTTAAAAATATAAACTCTGCTTGGGGCGCCTGGGTGGCTTAGTCGGTTAAGCGTCCGACTTTCGCTTAGGTCATGATCTCGCGGTTCGTGGGTTCAAGCCCCGCGTCGGGCTCTGTGCTGACTGACAGCTCAGAGCCTGGAGCCTGTTTCAATCTGTGACTCCCTNAGCAAGATAGGCACTTTCCAAACGTTGGAATGCCGAGGCTTCCAAGAATCAGGAAATACGTCACTCCGCGGTGCCTGGGTGGCTCAGTCAGTTAAGCATCTGACTTCAGCTCAGGTCATGATCTCACGGTTCATGAGTTCCAGCCCTGCATTGGGCTCTGTGTTGACAGCCAGCTCAGAGCCTGGAGCCTGTTTCAATCTGTGACTCCCTCTCTCTCTGACCCTCCCCTGCTCACGCTGTCTCTCTCTCTCTCCTAGAAATAAATGAAATATTAAAAAAAATTTAAAAAAAAATATAAACTCTGCTTGATATTGAGACATTTATCTTGAACGTTGTCTAATTAGCCTTTCAAGTTCTACCCTGCAAACATTTTATCTGGTATTTATCAAAGCAGGCCAAAAGTCCCACTGACAATATTGTCAGTGGCTTTTGTTGCTCGCCAATAAATTATATTACAAATTATCAAGAGTAATTCTTTTCCAAGTGGCAGCAAAAATTAAGGACTTCAAGTGTCCAGTTCAAGAGTTCACCGGACTCATCACTAAATAAGCTTCCTGAGATGATCTTTCTAAAATAACTCTTCTCTCTACCAGCTGACTTGCAGAACTGACTCTGTGCAGCACGGATCCACATGACTGGGTGCAATGGGCTTTGGGAGAATATTACAACTTTTGCCTTCTTAGATCATTTTCGCTCTTGATTTCTTGGTTTGTTTGAAGAGGTCAATGAAGAGCCACATATGCCAACTGAATGGGTCTTCTTACCATTTTTTTTTATTTCATTTACAACATCTATTATGACTTTGGAGATGTGGTGACATTTGGCTCAAGGGACTAATAAAGACAAAATCTAGGAAGGTGGCTCTAAGGGAATGTGTGTGGGGTGTGTGGTGTGTGTATGTGTGTGTGTGTGTGTGTGTGTGTGTTTGGGGGTCAGGTGAAGGAGATAAATTCTGAATTTATAAATGAACTTCAAGATAAATTTTGGAATTCAATTATAGCACTTGGAACAGCCACAAAAAAGTGTTTAGCATATATCCATAATATATGTGGTTTTCATGATGTTTATTCTTTTTATATTTAGTTATTATGTGACCTTCACGAAAGTAATTTAAAGTATTCCTAGTTCAAATAAATGAGTCATAGAAGGTAATCAAAGACAGTCTGTTCAGTAACTATTGTTTACTCCCCCCACTAACTTTCAGATTGCCAAATCACTATCAGGAAACTATTCTTAGTCAAACAAACTATAAGATTTATTTGTCCTCATCCACTGAGGCACACAAGAGTATGTTAACATGGGCTAGAAACAAACTCTGGTTAAATAATGCATCCACCAAATATGCAAAGAACACTTGCTGTGGGATAGTTTTGTGTTACTATAAAAGTAAATAGGAGGGCACCTGAGTGGCTCAGGTGGTTTAGCATTCAAATGCAGCTCAGGTCATGATCTCAGGTTCGAGCCCCAGAGCAGCTCTCTACTGTCAGGACAGAGCCTGTCTCCTTCTCTCTGCCTCTCCTCCACTTGCTCAAGTGCTCATTCTCTCAAAAAGAAATAAACATTAAAAACTTATTTTAAAAAAGTAAATAGGAAAAGGCGAAGGGTTTGATTTGGTGTAATACTGCTGTAGAGGCACAGACAAGTGCATGGAAACTCACCGGTGAGCCCCCACTCCTGAATTAAGCAAATGGATGGTCCAGGAAGGTTTTCAGGAGATGACATCTGAGCTAAATGTGGAAAGACCTGTCGGAGTCAGGCAGACATGGAGGTAAAGAGAGAGGGAAAAACAAAGGCTTGGAGGCATGAGGAGGGAATGTGGGACGTCCAAGAACCTCAAAGTCAATATGGTGGAGGCAATGGGAAATGAGGTGGATGGATGCAGAGAGCTTGGGAGCCAGCCCTGAGGGAGCTGCGTCTGCCTTTCCAGATCAGATTAAACCCTGAGAGAAGTGGAAGCTGCTGAAGGAATTATTTCAAGCAGACCAGACTTGTTTAGGTTTACTGGAGGAGTGGGGAGGTTGATATTTGGCTGTGAGTATGAGATTAAGTTTGTTTGGACAAACTTTCAGCTCAGTAAAGGACAATGTGAGCTACTTGAGATCAAAAGAACCAATACAATCTGTCATACACTATTGCAACATTCTCTCATTCCCTAAGCACATGAGGATGAATGTGTTTTCGAAAAATATTTCCTCCTCCTTTAACGTGAGAGCAGGAAGGTTTGGTGGGAGAGAAAACAAATAAAAGAGACTCCAAGTTTCGATGACTTTTTTTTTTTATGTCCCAGGATCTCACTGCTGATGTTTCATGTGAGTATTTCACACTGGCTTCCTCAAACTTTTTTGCATGAAAGCCTTAACAACCATTGTGTCAACATGTGACCCTAAAACCTGTCCACAAAGCATCTTTCTGGGACAATGAATTCAGGGGAGAGCAATCTCTCCCTTCCCCCCACCCATCTGTGCTTCTGCCCAAGCCTTTTGTGTTTCAGAGTGTCACACTGTTCTTCAGAGCAAGGATTTTATTTCCATGAGTGATGTCAGAGAAACTGAGAAATTCGTTTTATGACTTGCCTACTTGAAACTTCGCAAAGAATGAACAGTAAGACTTCTTATCACATTCAGGCTTATTTAAAACTTGCTCTAAAAAAAAAATAATAAAAAAAATAAAACTTGCTCTAGGGGCACCTGCATGGCTCAGTCGGTTAAGCGTCCAACTTGGGTTCAAGTCATGATCTCAAAGTTCGTGGGTTCAAGCCCCGCATTGGGCTCTGTGTTGACAGCTAGCTGAGACCTGGAGCCTGCTTCAGATTCTGTGTCTCCCTCTCTCTCCGACCCTCCCCTGCTCACGCTGTCTCTCTCTGACTCTGAAAAATAAATTTTAAAAAACATTAAAAAAATAAAACTTGCTCTAAAGAATTAAAGGACAAGTTATGTTTATTTAAAATGTGAATCATTACATCTCAGGAGCCACCAAATCAGACTCAGTATGACTTTAAACACATTGCACTAGGGGTGTTTGGGTGGCTCAGTTGGTTAAGCATCCAGCTTCAGCTCAGGTCATCATCTCATGATTTGTGAGTTTGATCCCTGAGTCAGGCTCTGCACTGACAGTGCAGAGCATACTTGGTATTCTCTCTCTCTCCCTCTCTTTCCCCCTCCCTTGCTTGTGCAAGTGCTCATTCTCTCTCTCTCTCTCTCTCTCTGTTCTCCCTCTCAAAATAAATAAATAAACCTTAAAAATAACTAAAAATAAACACATTATACTCACACACACATACCTTTGGCAGGGTCACGAAATGTATCTGGTTTTCATTACAAGTTCAAATCCACTTAAGGTTTTTGCATTTAAATTCAAACATCTTTGGGGCATCTCGCTGGCTCAGAAGGTGGAGCATACAGCTCTTGATCCTGGGATCCTGAGTTGGAGCCCCATGTTGGGTGTGGAGTCTACTTTAAAAAAAAAAAAAAAGTAAAATATAAGGTCATGTGGGTGACTCAATAAGTTAAGCATCCGACTTTGGCTCAGGTCATGATCTTATGGTAAGTAAGTTTGAGCCCCACATCGGACTCTGTGCTGGCGGCTCAGAGCTTGGAGCCTGCTTTGTATTCTGTGTCTCCCTCTCTCTCTGCCTCTCCCCTACTGGCACTTTGCCTTTCTCTCTCTTAAAAATAAACATTAAAAAATTTTATTTAAGGGGCGCCTGGGTGGCTCAGTCGGTTAAGCGTCCCGCTTCAGCTCGGGTCATGATCTCACAGTTCGTGGGTTTGAGCCCCACATTGGGCTCTGTGCTGACAGCTCAGAGCCTGGAGCCTACTTCAGATTCTGTGTCTCCCTCTCTCTCTGACCCTCTCCTGCTCATGCTGTCTCTCTCTCTCTCTAAGATATAAATAAAACATTTAAAAAATTTTTTATTTAAGTAACATATAAATTTGTAAAAAAAATTATAAAGTCAAACACCTTTTTTAAAAAGGCTCCTTTACTGGTCACCATAGTCACATGTTTTAAAAAAGAAATAATACATAGAGTCAAATAAGTCTGTATTAGGAACTACTCACTACTCACATAGTGCATGTTCTTTTGTTTGGGGCACATATTGTCCCCCAAAGGCAGCTATCTGCATCTATTTTTCTCTTAAGAAACTTAATCTCAAAGATGCTCATAGATTTTGATTTGCATTTAATTTTGAAAACTGTAATTTTCCCTCTGAGATTTCTTTTTTAAAATTAGAAAAGGATAATTTAGCAAAAACAAACCACAGCGTGCATTTACATTTTGAAAACATTTTGTAGATTTGTAAGTAAATAGTGACTGCATCTGCCTACTCCATGAAAAATGGGGGGAGTTTCGAACAAACCCCTCCAAAATACAGAGCTCTTTGCTTCTCTTCACCCCTACCTCCGTATTCTAATGACCTAAGTCAAGCCTGAAGATTCATGAAGTCATGTTTTCTAGACACCAGAAGGGTTAAACTGAACTTTAACCATTATTAAAGGTATCTTTCCCCAGGTTAGCGCCCCCCAGGTAAACCACGGTCCTGGAGACTCGAAGGAGATGATTTCCTTAGAGGAGGGGGAAGAGGTGAGAACAGAAGATGGGGGATGGGGGGGGCGCAGATTGAAAATGATTTTTTAAAAAGGCATCCAGTCTCTGTTTGGGTTAAAAGTGCATTTGCTTCCCCAGGAGCAATTGGAGAGGAAACACTAGGAGTTAATCATTCAAGACACAGGATGAAACAAGAAAGAATTCTAAAAATAATACCTTCTCCTTCAAAACTGAAGCCGTCTGCAGGAAGCAGAATTGGAGAGCTTATTAGCATGCCTCCTTTGCCCTCTGCAGCTGATGCTCCCCGTTAAAATCCTGGCACAATCCTAAAGTGGCAGTTTGCTCTGCAAAGGTCAGAAGAATCAAGGTCACCAAAGAACACGTATCAGGTGAGTTTGGTGGCCCCAAACCAAGTCACCATTCTGCATCTGTGTCGGGGCTCCTCTGACCTCTCCATTCTTGGTGCCATCTCCAAAGGAAAGGAAGTGGCCAGAGTTGTCGCTGACAGCTGCCCTCTTGTTGAACCGCTTTGTCATCGTGTGGTATTAGTTATGTCGGAAGGAACAAGGAAAGGGACGGTTGCCTAGGCATTTGACCGTATGTACACACAATGCTATTGTCTGTGCCCTTTATGCAAAAGAGGCCCTCGCTACAGGTCCCGTCTCCTCCTAAAAAGCTTGCCACCAGATCCACCTATCTGTCAACAAAGGCTGCAAATTTTTTTAAGTCCTATCGCTGATCTCATGACTCATATAACCTGATAAATCCTTCATTCTTTCTCCTCCTCCTTCCTGTTTCTACCCTCAAACATTTTGGGGCTCTGTACTAGATGCTAAAGGTATGAAGAAGAGACGCCAGGAAGGTTCAGTCAGTTAAGCGTCAGATTTTGGCTCAGGTCATGATCTCACGGTTCTTGAGTTCGAGCCCCACATCGGGCTCTCTGCTGTCAGCACAGAGATTGCTTCAGATCCTTCCCCCTCTCCCTCTGCTCCTCCCCTGCTCACCCGGTCTCTCTCTCAAAATAAACAAAAAAATTAAAAAAAAAAAAAAACACCCTAAAGGTATGAAGAAGACCAGAACATTCCCTGCCCTCAAACTTATCCTCAGTTCAGTGGAGGAGGCAGAACAGAGAACTGAAAAATCTGAAGAGTAAAGAAATTTGTCACAGACTTCCAGCTCTCATGGGAAGGAGAAGTTCTATCTTCTGACTCATAATGAAGGCCTCTGTGCTCAATGCCCCTTCCAAACTTGTGCTACTTATAAATTGATAACTTCCATTAATAAATTGGTAAATCACTTCAGAAAAGGCTATTTAAAAAATTTTTTAAATGTTTTATTTATTTCTCAGAGAGAAAAATAGCGTGAGCAGGGGAGGGTCAGAGAGAGAGGGAGACACAGAATCTGAAACAGGCTCCAGGTTCTGGGCTATGAGCACAGAGCCCGATGCGGGGCTCGAACCCATGAACCGTGAGATCATGACCTGAGCCGAAGTCAGACGCTTAACCGACTGAGCCACCCAGGCGCCCCCAGAAAAGACTATTTGTGCCAAGAGAGCAGAATTGTAATCCTAACTTTTCTTCCCGCCACTCCAGAATCAAAGACCTTCTCTGAAAGAACGCGCGTGCCCACCGCAGAGAGGCTGCCCCAAGAACTCAGGCCTCTGACCGGATGGTTTGAAGCGCGTGTGGGGAGGTGCATTCCTCTTCACTGGGCACACACCCAGCACTGTCCCACGAGCCGTGCAAATGTGACCAGTCTCTCATGTCTTTTGCGCCTCAGCCTCCCCATCTGTGTCGTCGGGATCATCCTTCCTTCTTCATGGGTTGTTGTGGTATTTAAAATGGGATACTGGCTGGGGTGCCTGGGTGGCTCAGCCGGTTGGGCATCTGACTTCGACTCAGGTCATGAGTTCAAGCCCCGTGCTGACAGCACAGAGACCACTTTGGATATTCTGTCCTCTCCCTCTGCCCCTCCCCCACTCACGGTCTCTAAAAAAAAAAAATTAGAAGTAAATAAAATGGGATTATGGTGCACAGGAAGTGTGCATTGTTATTAGCACAGAGATGTCTGCCTCTCCTCCCATTTAAAGCCGTCTTCCTGAGGAAGATGGGGAGACGGCCAGGCGGGCAAGTGTTGCTTTCTGGAGGGACCAGGGTCTTGCCGGTGTTGTGGCTGGTGATGCAGAATTTCCCAAGAAATTCTTCCGTTTGTCCACAACACAGCGTCCCCCGCAGCTGGGCTTCTGGGGGGAGCGGGCACATAGCAGCACCGGGAAATTCTGGTTTGGGGGATGGATGCCCAGCCAAGAGAGGAGCTAGAAGGGATGAAAAGTTTACGGTGCATAGATAGACTGGTGACACAAAATGAGAATGCACTGGGCATGTGTATGTATTCCCTATAAGCAATTCTCAAACCTCTCTGCCTTCAGATGCTACCAGTCCATGCCACTGCCAAGGTCCCCACGAATCCCAGAGACAGCAAGGTCACCGTTGCTTAGAAAATACTACTCCATCTACTGCCTATCAAGTCTAGCGAACCGTGAGCCGTCAGGCCCCTCCCCCACGGCCATGGGGCAACGTCGGGAATCTTCTCCTACAGCTAGGTGCTAAAGTTCAAACATCACTTCATCTCAAAGACTGTTTCCTCAGTGTTTTGGTTAGCTACCTCTGTGTAACAAACTACCGAAAACATGGTGGCTTGAAACAACCAAGATTTTACTTGCTGGTGATTCTGTGAGACAGGAATCAGACACAGTTCAGCTGGGTTCACTCAGCTGGGGTCATCAACTCGCTTGCATTACTCTGGTGGCTGGCTGGGCTGGACTAAAGGGTCCGAGGAGGCTTCACTCACATGGCTGGTGCTTGGGGGCTCCTCCTGTGGCCTCTCTCTTGTCTATGGGCCTAATTTGAACTTCCTCACAATATGGTGGTCTTAAGGTAACCTGGCTTCCTATATGACAGCTGGCTTCCAGGAGAAAACATTTCAAGCAACAAAGGCGGGAACTGTGAGCCTCTTAGGGCCTCACCTCAGAAGTTACACAGTCTCACTTCGACCCCCCTCGTTTGGTCGACACAAGTCATGGGACCAGTCGAGACTCAGAGGGAGGGTAAATAGAGAAGGGCAAAGAATTTGCAGCCATCTTGAATTTACTACAATTGGGGCAGCCTTCCCAAGACCTCCAGCCTCAGACCCTGTCACAATCTCTCCTTGCCTCTTGAATTTCTTTCCACACATTTATCTCAAGTTACTTAAGTGATGAAGCTTTGCGCAGTGGCAGTGGCAGTGTCGTAGCCAATGAGGTTTATCCAAGGCGCAATTATTGCTAATTGAAAACTTTTCAAGTTACTTAAGTGATGAACTGATGAACTGCCCTTCTCACAGGAGCCTTATGACCAGTGAGAGCAGAGAATGAAATGAGTCTGTTAGATTCATTACCATATACCCACTGCCTCGGGCAGTGCCTCACACATTGTAGGCTCTCAAAAATGTTTGTTTAGAGAATTGGTTAAAACATTATCAGGATAATAGAAAAACACACAGGGAAAGTCAAGACAGCATAACATAGTTCATATGATACAGTTCTTTGGAGACGAAGAGATGAAATAGTGCACCAAGTCTTTGAAATTTGTCTTTTTGGGTACCAAATCTCTCATTAATCACCTAGAAATATCATATTTCCTATCCCTTCCACAATGAAGGAAAACGTCTGATATGTTCCACCCAAGCACCTCTATATGAGAGTTTGCGGGACTATTTATAAATTTTTTTAATTAAAAATTAATTTACCACAGTTAAAATTAATTTTAAAAAATTTAATGTTTTTAATTTAAAAAGTTTAACTGTGGTAAAACACACAAGCATAAAATTACCATCATAACCATTTCTTTTATTTTTAAAATTTTAATGTTTACTTAGTTTGAAAGAGAGACAGAGCACAAGTTTGGAAGGGCAGAGAGAGAGGAAACACAGAATCCAAAGCAGTCTCCAGGCTCCGAGCTGTCTGCACAGAGCCCAACACGGGACTCAAACTCACAACAGTGAGACCATGACCTTAGCTGAAGTCGGATGCTGAACCAACTGAGCCACCCAGGCACTCTGAGAATTCCCTCCCTTAATATTCAGAAATATGTATAATTTTTTAAATGTTTATTTATTTTTGAAAGAGACAGAGAAGGAGACAGAGGATCCAAAGCAGGCTCTATGCTGACAGGAGAAGTCAGATGTGGGTCTCCAACTCACAAACCATGGTATCACGACCTGAGCCAGAGTTGGCTGCTTAGCCAACTGAGCCACCCAGCCGCCTCTAGAAGTAACTATAATTTTAAACTAGTTTTTTTTTTTTCTCTTACATGTAAAATTAAGGACATGTGTTCTAGGAAGATCTGAGAGAATGTCGATGCCTAGAAACGCTAAACTTGTCTACCCATCCATACTGGGAAGTCTTACTCTTGCATACAACCACCAACATACTGAGGTTGCCTTCTTTAATCCATTCAAGAACTGAGCCATATTTGACAGCAAAATGCCTGTCCTACAGAGGAACACTAACCCACACTTTAGGCAATAATTTGTGGAGCTTCACGCAAAATGAAAATACAGGGCACCTTGTTAAAAATATTATTCAGAATTTTAAGGTGGTGACAGCAACACATTAAAACAAGCGTGAGGTTGGGGCACCTGGGTGGCTTAGTCGGTTGAGCGTCCGACTTTCGCTTAGGTCATGATCTCGCGGTTCGTGGGTTCGAGCCCCGCGTCGGGCTTTGTGCTGGCTGCCAGCTCAGAGCCTGGAGCCTGTTTCGGTCTGTGACTCCCTCTCTCTCTGACCCTCCCCTGCTCACGCTGTCTCTCTCTCCTAGAAATAAATAAAACATTTAAAAAAAAAAAAAATAAAAAAAAATAAAACAAGCGTGAGGCCTAGATAACTGAAAAGACCAAAGACTCATAACACTATAGTATACCATGCCTTATAATTTCTGTCTATGACTGAAACCCTGATCTTTTTTTAATTTTTAAGATTTATTTATTTTTGAGAGAGAAAAAGACAGAGTGCGAGCAAGGGAGGAAGGAGACACAGAATCGAAAGCAGGCTCCAGGCTCTGAGCTGACAGCACAGAGCCTGACACAGAGCTCAAACTCATGAACCTCGAGATCATGACCCGAGCTGAAGCTGAATGCTTAACTGACTGAGCCAACCCTGATTTTTTTTTAACCACCACACTAATCATTAATTCAAACTTTTCAAACTACACACAAGTCCATGATCTGAACAAAAATATTTTCACTTTTCAATGTGGCTTTCTAGCTCTCTCAGGCATATCTGATAAAAAAGACAGAGCTTGACCCTCTTTCCTCTCCACGTGAGAGGAAATCACCCAATATGATTAAGAATGCCCCTTGTCCCCAGCTTCAGGACCCAGTTGTGTCACTCTCCAACCCTTTCCTGGAGCTCTGGGAAGAGGTCTGAGAGCAGGACAGCCTCGTCCTCATATCTTCCCCAAACTCACTCTCAGGACTTTGTCTTTTCTTCTCTGGTCCTGATGCCTCCCGGAAGCAGACAGAGACCGGGGGCAGCTCTCTCAGTAGCCCTGATCCCCTAGTCCAAGTGATGATTATGATTGTTTTGAATCAAGTTATTGGCAATCTCAGAAGCAGGTGATACTGTAACACAGCTATCTTTTTATAAATGATATGAGGAGTATTTCATTCTTGTCAGTGCTCCATAGAAGAGAACTCTGTTAGGAATCTTGAATTCTAGCCTAGACACTAAACTGAGCTCCACTCAACTCTAAAGAGTTGATTGTGACTGCTTTGTCCACATCCTCAGCCTCATTTTCTCTGAATCCACTCCAGTCAGGCTGTCAATACCCAGCCCTCTATTCAATGGCTCTTGCTGAAGTCACCATTGACCTAGATCTTGCCAAAGCCTAGTGGTTAGTTCTCCGTCCTTCCCTTACTGGGCTGGCCAGCAGCCTTTGGCCAGACAGATCACTCCTTCCTTCAGCAAACTCTATCTTCTCTAGGCTTCAGTGAAACCTCTCTCTTGGAGTACTCTCTCCCTGGTTTCCTTCTGGGAACCTTCCTCAGATGACAATCCCAGTGATGTTTTATAAATATTTGCTTAATCACATCATTACTCATCCAATGGCTTCCAATTATGTATTGGGTGATTTCCAAACTTTAAGCATTATTACCTATCACTTGACTCCGCCTTCCTTGCCGAATCATCAAGGCAGTGGGAACTCTTCTTTCCCACTCCTCCACTGTGCTCCAGCCACACTGGCCTTCTGCAATCCCTCAGATTCCCCAGGGGCTTTGTGAATTGCTGTAACTTCTTCTTGGAATATTCTTTTCACACTTATCAGGCAGCTGCCTTCTCTTTACAAGGACCTCAGCCCGGCATCAATTTCTCAAGAAAACTTCCCTGACATACCAGTAGAGCAGCTTCTTCCTTCAAGTTACTTCCTATTCTGTTTTTTGTTTTCATAGCCCATATATCTGAAATTCTCTTTTTGTTTATTTACTGGAATGTATGTTCATTAAGTTGATATATTTCATCACAGTGTTCCTAGCACCTAGAACAGCACATAGTAGATAAATATTTGTAGACTGACTAGCTGACTCTTAATTATATCATTGCTCCATAGATACAGGCATGTGTGTGTGTTCACGTGCACATGCACACTCATACACACACACGTACACACACACACACCTCACTCAGGGTCATACATAATCTCTGAATTTAGCTCTTACTACTCTTTCCTTGCTCACTCTGCTAAATCAAAACAGGCCTGAATTGGAATCTTTGCTCTGGCTGTCCTCTCTGGCTGAAACACTCTTCTCTCACAAATCATTAGAGTAAACTCCCTTTTTGAATCTTTGTTCAAATATTATATTCCTAATGAAGCCTACTTGATGAGCATATTTAAAATTGCTGCTCAGGGGTACCTGGGTGGCTCAGTTGGTCAAGCGCCCGACTTCGACTCAGGTCATGATCTCACCATCCGTGAGCTTGGGCTCTGTGCTGCCATCTCAGAACCCGAAGCCTGCTTCGGATTCTGTGTGTGTGTGTGTCTCTCTCTCTCTACCCCTCCCCCACTCATGCTCTGTCAAAAATAATTAAATGTTAAGAAAATTTTTTTAATCAAATAAAATAAAATTGCTGCTCAGTCAATAAAGTATGCAACTCTTGATCTCGGGGTTGTGAGTTTGAGCTCCAAATTGGATGAAGAGATCACTTTAAAAAAACAACAACAACTTTGTCTATAAGGGGTGCCTGGCTGGCTCAGTCAATAGAGTATGCAACTCTTTATCTCAGGGTTGTAAGTTCAGACCCCAAGTTGGGTATAGAGATTACAAATCAAAACCACACTGAGATACTACCTCACGCCAGTCAGAGTGGCTAAAATGAGCAAATCAGAGAACTCTAGATGCTGGCAAGGGTGTGGAGAAATGGGCACTCTCCTACACTGTTGATGGGAATGTAAACTGGTGCAGTCCCTCTGGAAAACAGTGTGGAGGGTCCTCAAAAAATTAATAATAGAACTCCCCTATGACCCAGCAAGAGCACTGCTAGGAATTTACCCAAGGGATACAGGAGTGTTGGTGCATA